CTATAAAGCATTCTGTCCTCATAGAGAATCACACTATCTCTTTTTTCCTTTTTCCTCTGTGTTCTCTTTACTAATTGATGAAGGCAAACATGGCTGAGAAGGAAATGAGCCTAATGTGTGTGACTGGCCGTGGTCTGAGTGGGCTGGAGCTGGTGTGTTTACTCTACCGACAGCCATGTAGACAGGTCAGTGCATGCGGCTCATGTTTTATGACAAGCGTAAAAACACATGCAGAGACATGGTGCCTGAAAAAACATGTTCTGTGTGTTAGTATGTTCTAGGACTGACCCTGAGCTAGCTCTTAGATGAGCAGCCTGGGTCTGTGTATCTGTCATTGAGCTTCAAGAAAATTCACTGTGAAAATGTTGATGTTTCTTTCCATCTGGCTAAGCAAATAAGCTCTGACCATGACCCATTCAATGTGAGGTTTTACCAAGAAATGAAATTATTTGTTAAATATCTATTATGAAAAACATATTTCATTATGAACTTGAATTTATTATGAACTTACTGAGTCGCTTAACAAAAACATTGGTTAATGCTTAAAGATAAATCCTTACTTATCATTTTTAAGGTAAAATCACATCTCTTACTTCTCACCCAGTGTCAGCTGGGAAAGTTTTTACCTGAGATCTGATGTGCACTTAAGAGAATCAGTGGATGAATGGGACAGCATCACAACTTCTAGAGAAACAGGGCTGTTTCAATTGAAATCACACGGCTCTTTCAGAGTCTGATCGTCAACAAATGCTTGATAAATATATCATGACATGAACAGAAGAGACGACTGCTGACCTCTGAAGAATGTGACCTATATCAGTCCGTATTCAGACAGAGTGTGTACAAACCCTGTACAAATGGAAAAAAATTCAATTACATTGCGCTCCAGGCATGACTGAGAGTGCATAGTCTGTGAGGTCACAGGGACCCAAGGTAACTTCTATAGAATGTCTCGCACAGGCTAATGTTCATATTCACCATTGTTATTCAGTGGTGTGCATGGCAGGGCTATAAGGAAACAGACACGCCTCTCACAAAAAACCCAACTACCCAACAGCAAATTCCAAGAAAGTGGGTCATAAAGTGAGATGCTGAGAACCCTCAGGAAAAATAATCATAAAAACAGATAGCCAAAGATAAATAAAGATTATATTTTTAAATAGCTGAGTCAAAGTCCCGATATGAGTCCAGCAGAAATGCAGTGGAAATACTCTGATAAAGTTCATCAGAAAAAAAACAACCGAAACCAAGAAACGTCAACATCTTTCAGTGTATTTACATTCTTCATACCATCTATTTTGGGATTATGTGGAACTATAATATGCAGAAATATTTTGATGCAACTGTAATTACTTAATCAGAACTCTCGAAAACAACAAGAATAATCCCCTGCGAATAAGAGTATTTAAAATCACCCATCAGATTTTCATGCACGTCTTTTTATTGAAGCCTAAGCCTGGACAAGCTATTCCTCACGTGTCATGTTATACACATCACTGAGAACACACTGGCTTAATTACTGACCAATAGTCAAGGGTCTAGCACTGTTCACTCCAGCCGGGTTACACAAACCCATCACTGAAGCACTGAACAACCAGGCTTAGCTACACCTATCTGATTTCGTTCCTGCTACCCCACAGAATGCTAACAAAGGTCATCAGTATTTGCAAGTTTTAGGATTTGTGCAAAATGAAGGTAAATATCCAGACTTGTACCTATAGGGTAAAATATAATTTATTATGTCAAGCATATTTAGCGTATTGGGCAACAAGACTGAATATATCAACACTGTGAACCCTGGTGGCAGCTGTGTTGCATCAGCTTAGTGAAGCTACACTCATACAAGAAATGAAAACTTAAGAGTTAAAAAAAAATCAGTTTATATATAAACTGAATTTCTGAATAAAATAAAGATTATAAATAGAAATATCATTATTTTTTAACGTTATGCAGAATTAGTTGGGGTTTTTTTTACAACTTTTGTCATATCATATTACTACTTGCTTATAATTTATTGACTCTTTGAGTTTAACTTTTCAGGCTGCTATTGAAAAAAGTACATAAAATTGTTAATGTATTTAAAAAAAAACACACACACACACACACAACAGCAGCAACATTTGTAAGTTAGACAAATCAAAGAAAATTGTTTACACAGTAAATACCCAAGTGAATAGTGACGAGCAATTCCAGACAACACCCAATACTTTCTTCCTTTCTTTCTTGAATCCTCTCTACAATGATTCCCAGGTGAGAAGACAAGTGAAAGGTGATAAGGGATTAAACTGGTAAAGTGGAAAAGCAGAGTCTGAGTCACAAACCGAAGGCTCTATCTTGGGCTGCTTCGATTAATACCTAGCAAAAAATCAATAGAAATGGGTATCGATGGCTTGCAGCGCACCAGGTACACCCAGCTGCAGCCCACTTCAGCTGGGTACCTGATGAGTACGTGTGTTCCAAATCTTATGTAGCCTGAATTACTTGCATTTGTGATGATCTCACGACCTAAAGATATTTAGCAACACAAATAAACACGTAATCATCTTCTAAACAGGCTGACACACAAGGTGGTTCATGCGGAGGAATATACTGACTAAAATCACCCCCCCCCCCCCCCCCCCAAAAAAAAAGACAACAACAAACATTTTAGTCACCCCTTTGACATAAGCGTGTATCACTGCGCCCCTCTCAGTTTCCCTAACCTTGTTCCATCTGTTTTCTGCTGATGTACAGTCTGTTTACTCGCCAGTGGTAAAAGAGAACAAATAAAGCTTTTGTTTGCAAGAAATTTGACTTATGTCTGAACTGCCCGAGCTTGGACTGTGTGGTTGAATACTCATATGAGGTTAATGCTTTAACCCTCTCAGGCTCAAATTAAACTTTTTGTTGCTAATGCACAACCAAGTCCTGCAGTGGTACTTCTGAGTAAAAAAACCTCATAAAATATGTATGTGGGGTAATCAGGTTGTTAGTTTTTAACTGTTGCAAATCGGCAACGCCTGCCTTGAGAGGGTTAAAGGCAGTAATGTTATTGCAGTCCCATGCCTCATTATAATGCACACACTGTGAATAAATGTGTGAATAATTTGATTGCCTTTTCTAGATTTGTATAAACAATGTGAAGAAAAAAGTAAACGAAATGTGTGAAATTAGGAATATTTGATGGCGAGACTTTGAAACAGTTAAGCATTATATCTGAAAACAAACTCGTGTTTTCTTTTGATGAGCGGTAGAAAGGGCTGACGCACAAAAACAGTACCAATTCCAGGTCTTGCTCCAGCTCTGAGAGCTGTAGGGTGACGCATGACGCACTGGAGGCGCGGCAAGCCTTCTCCATAAATTCTCAGCCTGCTCTCCTCTGGCTTCAGACAGAGAGCGAGGTTAGAGCCCTCACATCACTGACAGGATTTTTGAACGATCGCTTTGACAGAGCACCATTTGCCAACGGGTGCATCTGCTGCAATCATGATTAAAAAAATGTCACCGCCCGAAAACGAGTTCGACATCCCGGCCAAGAATTGCCATCGGATGGTGATTCTGGGCTCCACAAAAGTTGGGAAGACAGCCATAATTTCTCGGTTTCTCAACGAGAGGTTTGATGACCAGTACACGCCTACTATCGAGGACTTTCACAGGAAATTCTACAGTATCAAGGGAGACGTTTACCAGCTGGACATTCTGGACACATCTGGGAACCATCCCTTCCCAGCAATGAGGAGGCTTTCAATCCTTACTGGTGAGTTGAGTTTTGCAGACACATGAAGCTTTGACCATGCATTTAATTAATTACAGTCAAATATTGTTATTATAATTTTATTTGATATTCAAATATACCTTCTCTTGTATTTCCAGGTGATGTGTTCATCTTGGTTTTCAGTCTCGACAACCGAGACTCCTTCCAAGAGGTGCAGCGCCTGAAGCGCCAGATATACGAGACCAAGTCCTGCCTGCGAAACAAAACCAAGGAGAACGTGGACGTCCCGCTGGTCATCTGCGGCAACAAGTGTGACAGGGACTTTTACCGTGAGGTGCAAGACGACGAGATTGAGCAGCTGGTTGGCGGGGACGAACATTGCGCATACTTTGAAATCTCGGCAAAGAAAAACACCAACGTAGACCAAATGTTTCAGACTCTCTTCACCATGGCCAAGCTGCCAAACGAAATGAGCCCCGACCGACACTGCAAAGTTTCCCTCCAGTACTGCGAGGTTCTCCACAGGAAGTCGTTCAAAAACAAGAAGTGCAAGGACGGGAACGCATATGGAATAGTGGCGCCGTTTGCACGGAGACCAAGCGTGCACAGTGACTTGATGTACATAAAGGAGAAAGCTGTAGGCGGCAGCCAAGCCAAAGAGAAAGGCTGCATCATATGCTGACAGTTCATTTGCCAGTTTGTGAAAGACTTTTCTGTGAGGGTTAGGAGCCGTGGTGGATAGCCAGTTTACTGACAAGGAATATGTAAGCCCATAAACTGACACAGTGGTGCAGCCTGGGCTGAGACTTGTGAACTAGCTCGGCTCATAAATCTCTGTGTAGTGCAGTAGATGCTCTGAAAATGCTGTAAATCTGTCTCTATTTTAACTTTCTAAGAGCAGCATTTGAGGAAAGAAGAAACATGTTTACACTTCACTGTACTTTTTCAACCATGGTGAAACTTGATTGTTCCATTATGATCAAATTTAATGCTAAATGTGTATTTATTGTCTACCCAGACTTTTGCATAAGAAAATAAAACTTGTTACTTTTATAGTCTGCCTTCCCCTTCTTTTTCATTTCAAGCAAATCTCCAAGAAGTTGCATTAAAAACAAAGCTTCACACTCTTCACAGATCTCCGTTTCCCTTAACTAGAAAAATGTTGTCCATCTGTTAAAATGCACTTGTTGCGTCATCCTGACACGTCATTCACATGCAGATTAAAACTGCAAGAAGCCCTTATTAAGAAGCTCGCCGTGGTTCATAGTCTGTTTTATGTATTCCGAATAACCTTAAAGGACGAAGCTTATACAAAATACAATTTATTACAACGTATCAATATCATGGGACTCAAAAAAGCGAAAAAATCCCAATTTAATACAAATATCATATAAACAAATTTGCGCTGTGGTAACACAAAACAAAGACAAGTTCAAAACATGTTGCAGTCCGACACAATTAAAGAAAAGACGGTTATTATTTCAATGTCCATCCGGTGTTCCTGAATCACGCCACCTCCATTTACTTCCTCCATACTGCGTGCATACCAAGTCTTTTAGTCTCACGATGCTTTTGGCACGTCAAACATGCACAGACTTTTATATTTCTGCAGCAGCTGGTTCTTGGTGCGAACCTGTTCCCGCAACGTGGCCAGCTGCTGCTGCTGCTCCAGCGGACTGCTGTCTATCCCCGGCATGTTGGAGATCTGCTCTCGAGCCTCCTGGATCTTTGCCTTTAGTTTACCAAGTTCTTGGAGGACATCCTGGTTGTCTTTGTCCATGCTTTAAGCAAATGGGGGAAAAGAAGAGTGCGTCATCCGTCTGCTTTGTTATTGCAGACACTTAACGTAACATTTGTAGCTATCGGCATTAGCTTCAGCTAACACAGCAAACAACATAGCAACTCCACCAAGCGACTGAGACAAGCAAGTGTTGTCCCGTGCATACAGCACACAATGTGACAACACACGAACCAATAAATACTCTTACCATTTAATAATATCATGAACTAAAGGCAGCAGAGAGCAGTCATCGCTCTCTTTGTCGAGCTTCGCCTGAGCTGTCGCCATCTCTCTTCAGCTTCCCGGCGCAGATTGTTTACGTCAGCCACAAAGCTGATGACATCACTACATTCGAATTGTAAAAAACTAATAGAAATATTTATTTCTGTTCATTCGACCTTTTCGAGATATAGTGCTATACTTTGTAATTGCGTGGATACGCACTGTGTGCTGTACGTATTTTCATCAGTTACCTGGAGCAGGGGTGTAAAACATAAGCCCCGCGGGGCAGAACCGGCTGGCAAAGACTGCAGTCCGGCCCACTGGATGCTATGTGTGAAAGAGTGCACAATTTTTTTGACTTTTAAATGAATTTTTAAAATGTTTTGCATGCCCCCCTCCCATCCCCACCAGAATAAATAAATAGTGAGTGGTAATTCATAATTAGATAATTATAGGCCAGTCTGGGCAACTTTCTCTGTAATTTTACACATTTTCTTTCTTATAATTTAAGCCCAAACAATTCTGCTGATACATTTCTTTCATTTACTACAGCAGCATTTCTTTATCATGTGGAAAAACCATTGAAGTCGCTCTCCTTTTTCTAATATTAAGATACCGCTGTGATTAAATGTGCAGTTAAAATTTAATTCACTGGCAGAAAGGCTCAACCCACTTAAGATAAAAGTGAGCTGTATGTGGGCCACAATGTCAAATAAGTTTTACATTCTTGACCTGCAGTAAAGTTCATAAACAAACAGACACACATACATTATTTACAGAATGTATTTTTGTGTTTTTGCTATACAAGTCCAGGTTGAGTGTAAAAACTCATGAAAATAAAGTAAAAAATAAATAAGTCTAACAAAACAAAACAAAAAACAAGAAAAAGAGCAATGAATGAATGAATGGACATGCAGACTATACAGGTAAAGTGAATCACACTGAAATAGAGGAGATTAGTTTTTCATTCATTGCTAAAATGTTTGAAATAAATAAAAAAATAAAAAGGCACAATTAAAATTATGTAATTCCTTTTGCTGCCTTGGGTTCTCTTTTGAGCACCCAATGAACTATGAAAATGCAAAAGGGAATTATGACCTTAAGCAATATAGGCTGAAAAAAGCTGAGGGAGAAATGATGTCAACATCATTTACTTTAAAGTGTCATCATTGAATTCATTACACAGCATCAAGGAAACAAAGTTGCTGTCTTCTCATCTTGAGTCTAAGGTGTTAAAGTGGTGGTTAGCCTAAAGCTAACTGTATTTTAAGAGAAACCAATGAAACCTATTTTTTTCCTACTGTTTATGCTAATAACTTTCCCCAGGTGTTTTTTATTTTGAATGAAACCCACGGCAGCACACATTGGCCCTTAAATAAGCCCAGATAATCCATTAATACCCCGAGCAAACAAAGCTGACCTGCAATGAGTGGGAAAATTTGCTTCACATCCCAATACCTAGCAACCTGAAACATCTATTTCGGCAGTAAATGCAATCTACTATCCCTACAAGTGTAACACATGTCATGCATGTTGAGTGAAGCATGGCAACCCATATAAACTTTGACATGCACAAATATAATCTAATGGACTACAATGTATCCGACTATATTTATATATTATATTCAACTTATAGAGATTAATGCAGAATAGTGGCATACGATAAACCTAGAAAACAGGATGGAATCAATACCTTTTTTAAATGAATTCTCAGGAACAAATCACAGTATTGTCATAACTGTGCAAATATAAAACTAATCTGTCTTGTCTTCCCTTACATTGACCCATATTCCTGGGAGATCAGTCACCAGCAGGTCTCTATGTTGGCCTCATTAAATGTGAAGTTAAATCTCAGTAAAGATGATCTTAAATATTCATTGGCTGTGTCACAGAGGTGGTCTCATTGCTGCAGTGACTAATGAGAATGCTTCCTTATGGTGTTTGCTACGTGTGGGTAATGAGTGTGCCAGGTATGGGAAGAGGAAGGGAGCAGCTGCTGAAATTAAGCTTTGATGAAAACAAATAGCCATGAAAAAATATAGGTCAGCAGGAAACATTTTCTCTCATACCTCACAGTGTGTGGCATCATTGAAGATCCTACCAGAAGCTCAGTCCTCACACTAATTTCCAGTATGACAGAGTGTTACATACTGCTCAAACTTACATGAGTTAGTACAGGTGACCTAGATTGAGTTTGTTGGGCATTATGTTCCCTAAGTGTTTTACCATTTGGGTCAGGGAAAGCTCTGACACCTTATATTAATACATTTTAAAAAGTGGGTCATTTTGTGACCCAGCATTATTAGAAAGGTATGAAAATATCCCAATGGCTAACACGCACAGTAGAGAGAATAAATATCCCATTATTATATGAACACAGGAATTTAGTTCATTGACTTTTATTTGACTGAACATTTTTTATTTGTGGTGTGGTCTGGTTTTTAGGCTTCGTGAACATTAGTGACATCTTTAGTCCTGTTCTTGATACTCAAGTGACTATTCATTCGGCGAAAGCAGTGACAGTGATAACATGAAGTTAAAAGTATATGAAAAGCATTTAGAAATGTAACATTTTAATTATGACTTATATTTTGTTTTATTGTAAGTGGCCTGCTTTCATTACGGTTCTTTAAATTAGTTGTTCCATATATACAGTGACTGCAGAGCATGATAATTAACACATCTACTTACACTTGCTGTGTTAACGAAGCATGTTCTAGCATAAAACTGCAAAATCAAATACCTGTTGTCAACACCTTGTGATGCAACTGAAAGTAGAAAAATGTTGATAGATTTAAGGAAAATCCATGTTAATTATTTTTTTAATGGCTTCTGTAATCCATCTACTCTAGTCCGTTTTCTTCTATTTATCCAGTTTAAGACTGGAGCCTATCCAAGCTGCCAAAAGGTAAACTGTGGAGTACTCCCTGAATAGGTCACACTCTACTGCAGGGCAAACAGAACGATAACCAATGTGGCAAATTTAAAATCACCATTAATGTAACCCCTTGGACTGTGGGATCAGGCCAGAAAACCCATGCTGACGCAGGGAAAATGTGCAAACTGCACACAGAAAGGCTCCAGCCAGCCAGTGGATTCAAATCCAGGACTTACTTGCTGCCAACAGCACATACTAGTCAACAGTGCTGGGGCGTGCTGCTTATGCTTATATAATATTTAGTGAAAATGTCAGTGGCTCTACTTTCAAGTAAAGTGACTGAATGCCTGCAGAGGTAGTGAGGTTTTATTAAACATCACAGGTAGTCGTGAAGGAATAGTGATTTGTAGATGCAGTCACATGTGTTCTGTAAGCTCTAAACATCACTTTCAGCTCATAGATCTATTCACACTTGCATGATCCTTCATAGTTCTCAAAGATCACAGTTCTCACATCTAGTTCATCTCAACAGCAATAGGTAGAAGAAGGGAGAAGTCAATTTTCAGATGTGAGGTAGGCTGAGGTTGATATTTACAACTGTCCTCTGTGAATTTCACAGAGGACAATTGTAAATATCAACCTCAGCCTTCCTTTAATAAACATTACTGGGAAGGATATACACTATTTACAGTGTATATCCTTCCCAGTAATGTTTATTAAAATGGAGTATGCATTTACATATTTATGGTTAGCTATTCAACAGAAAAAACTCTTCTAAGTAGTTCTTCTGTTTTGTTTTCTGTTTGGTTGTTTGCTTTTTTTTTTTTTACACAAAGCTCCTATTTGATTTCTTACTTAAAATTTCTTGAGAAGTAATCATTTCATCATACTTCATAACAAAATGTGATTTATTTATTTTCTAGCTCTCAATATAGATTTCTATGTAAGAACTCCAGCAGTAAAACTTTGCCCTGGAACATATCTCGTGTGGAGCCCAGACTAAACTTGTAACTTATAGCTAACAAGGGAATTATAGATATCTTTTAAGCCTGGGTGACTTTAGGACACTTCCAGTTGAACCCATATATAGGAGTCCCAGAGTGGCTTGCCTTTCCCCACTCAGCCTCTGTAATGACGTGAATGGGCAGTTGACAGTTTCCAACAGATGTGTCACCTCCCAGCATCTCTGACAGGATGCAGATGTCCTGTCTGCTAATCTGTGGTCTAATCTTAGCATGCATCTCTATATGAAAGACACAGTCACTGAAGCTGTGCATCATTAAAACAAATCGTTTCCCAATAAAATGAACCTTTCTTGTTATTTAGATTTAGGGCAAAGTGAAAGTTTTATTTGACAAGAGATTTGTTCCCATCATGTGAATCCTGGTTTCATAAAAGTTTCTAGGAAAGATGCTTTCACAAAGTGTCTTTATGTGCACCAAAGAGCTAGCCGGTCAGCTGCTGGTCATAATCCAATCCAAATTTGCATTTAATTTAATAAACACTACTTCACTGCCATGGATACTTGAGGATATGTGCATGAGATAGATCAGGGGTCAGGATTCAGTTGTACTAGTCAGCCTCTGTGGCATGTAACATGAAATGCACATTTGCACTCTGTCTGTTCTTAGTTATTGGTCTATCCAAAACAGGAGAACATAATAAGCTGGTGCAGCTATTAATTGATTCCTGCACTTCATTTGACATTTTACTGTTCAACATCCTGATTATAACCAGAGTACGTTCATGCTCATCGTCTCTTATTTCCAAGAAATCTGAAGCTCGGTTCCACGAAGCTTTGGGTTTTTTTTAACAGGCCTCTTTGATTTCCATAATTGAATTACAGATGGAGTCATTGCTGCTGAGGACTCAGGCAAGGTTTGAACAAACAGTATATTTTCTGCCTGTTAAATGAAATAAATTGGGCACTGCAGGAAAAAGGTTTTGACTGTTTTCAAGATAAGAAGGGAATTTGTGCATGTCTGCATTTGAAAGAAAAAAAAATAAAAAGTCCAAATGACAGATAGGTAACTGGTAAGAAACTGGTAAGATTGATGAATGTCGTAAATATGAATAGTACAATGTGCCCGAGGCCTGTCTCAATATTGGACAGTAACATATTTTTCTCCGTTTGGTTGAGGATAAACAGCATCATCTGAACTGTTATGTCTTCAAGACAGCAGGTTACTGAAACTTAAAACAGGCATGCTGTGTCAGGTTCACTGCTGCATACTGAAAAGCTACTATTCGTGATTGAAAAGGACAGTCTCAGGCCCAGTGGTGCTCACCTTAATATTATGTATTTCTTTTAACTAATAAATGATTAATAACATGCATTCAGAAAACATTAACGTTTTGGAAAATGTCTTCAGGGAAGTAGGTGCAATTTCAAGAAGAGTTCATATTTAATTTGTTTCTACATGCAGAGAGTCCACCATCATGACATGCCCACAACGTAAAGCTCACAAAAGCATCATAAACCTTTCAGTGTAGATTTTTTGGAACCATACAGTACCATTTTATTCATGAAAAACAATTCCACTCCTGTGGAATGACCACTACTGGAATAGCAGTGCATTTTACTGTATAACTGGAATTAAAAATATTCCTCAGGAAATCCCAAATAGTGTAATACAGCCTTTGTTTGGTGTCAAGCAAAACATCTGGTGGGTAATAATGCTGATACAACACCTTTTCCTTTTCTGTGTGCTTATGATCAGACTTCAAAGTCTGTTTTAATTTAATGATACTGGGGAAAAAAGAGATGTTATAAGCAACAGGGGATGCAGAGCAATGACAAGCTTGAGGCTTGCACAGACTTCTCCAAAATGGGCTGTATTAAAAAGAAGAGATATTAAATGTGGGAATGAATTCATAGTTAGAAATCAGTATATAAAATCCAGAATTGTGGGCTTTGTTGCGCAAAATTAGCTAACACTGCCCCCAAGTGAAAAATGTAAGAAAGTAGCACTTTATGAATCAAAACAAACAAACAAAAACATTTTCTGTTCTTTTTCAACCCTCTCATAAATATTAAAAAATAAATCATGCAAATCATACACAGGCTTTCGGAACACAGCCTTGGGTTCATAATGTATAAAGGTAGTAATTAGTGTGATAGAGTAGGGCTGTACTGAGACCAGCTGCTTGATCTTGGTTGCCGTCATCTCAGGTGCAGATACACTCATTTACAACTTTCTCCACCACCTTTCCTAAACACAGCACGAGTATGAGAACATTATAAGTCACTATCCACTAAGCCACCTCCTTAATGCTGTGACTATTAGGTATTACCAACACTTTTGAAGGTCCTCTGTTGCCTTTAGTGATCGTGGGTGACCAGGATGCTGTCAACAAGACCACTGGATCCTGTTGGTTGGCTTCCATACAAAGCTTATAAAAAATCTTAGGTCTTCCATATGGAGTTTGTCAAGGCTTTAAATGCTGACATACAGTGTACCATATAGTTATATTTAAAGATTAGCATTGCATTTTTGAGCCCTCAGCCAGGGGTAATTATTCCCTAACTGTCTTACTTTCATGTCAGTCATTTCGGCATAAACATTTTCAAATTTCCTTGCATCCTTTATGCCCATGCACAATTTATCCACTAGGTGGTAGGCTTCAATTGTTTAATTTAAAGGGGTTACACGTTTAATAGGACTGCACCTTCAAATATGTGCTGGAGATTTTTGCACATGTTCAAATAAACAAAAATCCACTTTACACTATTGCTATTATATCACACACTCAACTGCACTGCAATCATAAACTGAAACTTTTACATGAATAAAGAGTGACTATGTAAGAAAGAGGCATCGCCTCAATAGAACATCCTCTAACCGAGGCGGACATGATACAGGACAGCAACAAATAGGTTTTTCTTTTTTAATATTGCTTATTTCAGAAGCAACAAACCCTTCCACTCATGGATGTAGCGTGAACCATTCAGAATAACGTTCTTGTAAAATTTGGTTCAGTTATATACTCCACGTTATCCGGGACAGGAGGCGTTTGTCTCAAGCCTGTGTCATCGACGAAGTCAATGGTTACGGGACACTCTAGGTTGTAAAACAAGCACACCATTCGAGTTCCAACACGAACGTAGTGACGTAATTTTTTTGTGGCAAATCATAGCGCAGGCTGGGCGGGCATTGTGAAGCTGTAGTTGAGTGTTAGCAGGCTAACTAGAGAAAGAAAGCTAACTAATCGTGAGAGTGGAAGTGGAGCTAAACGAAAAGCCAACTGTCAAAACAGCAAGGGGAACAGAATTTTAGTGAAGTGATAATTCTGTTTGATGACTACATGAAAAGATTTAGACCTAGTTAATCAAAGACCGTGTTTGTCAGATGCCCGAGGAGCATTTTGGATACTACATCGATTGTCCCATTTCCAAACGGAAACCATTTCTGGACAGACAATTCGTGCTAGCTAGCCTAGCTAAGTGAATAATCCAGGAGACTTTTCATTGTCACCTAAAAACCCATACTGAATGTTTTGTCTGTCATGAGTCCGGCCGGGTGCTCCCATGTGAACGGTTATAAGGTGGATAATTGGAAACAAAATCTTCGAGTCATATACCAATGCTTTGTTTGGAGTGGTACTGCTGAGACCAGGAGACGCAAGGTAAAAACAAAAAAACAAAAAACACAGGAACTGCAACGCTAGCCTCACAAACAGAAGTGAAATAATTTTTAATGTGGCACAGACAGACAAAGAACTGGAGTGCAAATGGTGTCCCACACGAAGCACAATCACAAAATCTTAATGAAAGTACTCTTGCAGCAGCAAATGTTGCCAGTACTATGGTTAGCCACCGGTAACTTAGCTAGCAGGACTCTGCCTGGTGAACTGCGGATACTGTAGGATCCTTAGCAGAATTAACTAAAACACTGAAATTGTCTTTAATAAGTGAAACACTGTTAATTCGAGAAAATCTGCTATTAGCTGAGCGTTTTGCTGGATGTCTAAACTTGGATTTTTTTCTTTCCTTTTTTTGGAGTTGTGGTCACGGGTTAACAGTAACCACACCAATTGGGACCTATTGTGTCTTCGCACGAACACACAGAGTCCTTACGTTATTAGCGGGTTTCTGTTGGGCTTACTAGGTCATTGTTTTTTTGTGTGCGTGTTTCTTTTTTTTTTTTTTTTTTGCTCTTTTCTCTACCCTGGCCATGTCGCTTTCAGGGGCTTCCGCTGATTGCTTTATTCCCAGTTTCTTTTTGGGCTCATCCCACACCTGCTTGGCCTACACAGCTACGAGTATCTCTCTACACTGATGTCATCACTGGACCGTGCTGCAGTTTCTGTTATATTCCCACCCTTTCACTCCTTTTCTTTCTTCTTTTTCTTTCCTCTTGTTTTTTTGAGCCACTGTTTTCACATTGTCTAGCTTGGCTTTGTTTTCACCTTGCATTAGCAACAGTTTGATTGTTGCTTGCTTATAAGCCATCTATGCTTCACCTGCATGTTGTAATGCATATTTATGCCGTTGTGATAAAATAGGTACTTCACAGTGATGCAGGATGGGCAGAGCTGGTGAGTTGATGCTTTCCCCCCTCTCCTCATCTTCACTGACATAATGCAGGTAGTTCAGATGAATAAGAGCTGGCTTGCTTGCTTTCCTCCCGCTCACCCACCCGCTTCAGTGCCTCCTTCATTTAGTGGACATAATATTGGATGTAAACCAGTGTAGCAGGAGGCATCGGCCCCATCCTTTTATCGTTTGTGATGCACTGTTACAGCCAGAAATATTGCCTGTTGGGGAGGGTGGACCATGAGTAGAACAGCCAAAAGCATGGCTCAGTTACATTGCGGGTATGTTAGAGCAAATAGTGCTAAATGGCCAGTAACCCTTTTTTGCTTATACAGTGTTGAAATGACATGCTTTAACTTGAGCACAGTGCTCACTCTGTCTGTCTTAATTCTTTTTTCACCCACCCAAGACGACAGAATTATAAAGCAAAACTGTGAGAGAGCATCTGAAAATGTATACATGACGGTATAATGGGGGGCACTGCTACAATTTATTTTAAAAACCTGTTTGGTTTCTTTGGCACACTACAGACAAGAAAGCGCTCAACAGCAGCTCAAGTCCGTCGTAAAAGTATGACTTGTCATAGGTGTTGCTCACTTCTCAGTGATGTACAGAGTTATGGCTAAACTCCTGTTGTTGTGTTTAGTGGTGGCTAATCTGGTTTGTCCTATACATTTGGGAGGAATCTTTCCGTATCTGTTTTGCAGCGCTCTCTGTCTCAGCAACATTCCTGTCAGCTCCACACAACCATCTTTTTTGCAAGATAATATCTTCCAGAGTCTCTGAATCAGCAGCAAGCTCCGCTTTTCACATAAAAAGTACGTCTAATAAATCTTTCCATGTGTCTGCAATGTTGAGACAAACACAACAGCAGTTTATCAGAGGTATAGTGATGTTTCTTTTCCTATTTTTTTCCATCAATCCTGCGCCATCTGTGCTTGGTAGTATGCTGCATAAATAACAGTCATCCAGGCCCAATCCTGCTAGATGTTAAGTGCTCAAGGATAGATGACGGTTTTGCATTGAAAGTAGTGACAAGCAGGTTTCTGTACAGTTTAACATTTTCAGTTCCAGACTGGATTGCATTTTAATTCATGCTCTGTGCTCCACATTTCCATGTGCTTTATCAGTTCAGTTTTTCATTATAATGTATCCCCCTAGATTCTCTATCATGTCAAATTATCACAATACGCCTGTAGCCTTAGAGTCATGCAGGCTTTTTCCATGTTTCTTGCTTGCTATACCTTGTTATATTTCCTTCATCGAGCATATGACTATTTATTATATTGAAATAGTATGTTTACATACGGCTGAAAGCAGGTAGAAAAGAGAAGTTAAAGTTTCTGCATTTTACTTAGTTGATATATTTGTGCCTTACAACTTGTCACTGAGCCTGTTTAGCTTCTAACGAATGTAACATGCAGAGCACTACTGTGCTGGTTCATTGGTACAAAAGTAAAGTTGAGACCACTTTGTGTTTGTTCTTAAGATCATTAGATACCAGTATGACTTTATGTTGAATACTTATTGCATCAAAATGGTTTGATTAGATGACACTGACACTGATGGATGTTGTGAATGTCATATTCATTGACTAGATAAAAGCTTATCTGTGCAGTTCCTTTTGCATATTCATCTTACACTGGTGGGAAGCCCTGTAAATTAAGAGGCACCTTCTAGAAAGATGAGAGTGTGGTTTTGGTTTTAGAAGTGCCTTATAATCTTGTAATCTTGTATTGCATTTTTCCCATCTTCTTTTAGAAGGGACTGTCCTCAGCAGCCTTCCTGTAAGCTGTCACTCTTCCTACCTTAAGCCAATATCAATTCCCAGGTGATGCATTTACGCTGTCGCCTGTTCTGAATGTACAACCCTTCACTGGTAAAACCCGGTAGATTGAACATCAGGAATAGGACACTGCAGGAGAGATGTGGTGACCCAGTGTGGCCTGGGATTCTGTGTGTTTCATTTTGAGGACCTTAGGATTATTTATTTTTTGCATTATGGTTCTAGAGCAAATTCCCCATTCAGCTGGAATGACAAGTACTCTTATCTGCTGTGTAATGTTCTGCAATCTGCTACTGACACACAGTTGAAATATTAACCATAAACTCCACGTTTAATGTTGTTATTTTTTGTAGACTCTGTCACGTCTGAAGCCTGGTGTCATTTTGTTCTAAAAATGTAGCAACCGTCTTCTCTGCACAATCACAAATGGCCTCTAAATCATTTCGTAATTGGGACACAAACGGTCCATTGAGAAAACAATTAAATACAAATAAAGGGGTGTTTTGAAGATGCCCCGTGAAATGAAATGGCAAGAATAAACAAGTATGCAGTGTTGTTTGTCTTCGGGGTGGATTTATTCCAGATGAATAAGTCTGTGGTTCATTGTATTTAGCCTTGAACAAGAACCTAGATGCTGGTTAGTGGAAAGATCTTCTTTAGCCATACTGGGTAGCGAAAGGATTGGAAAGGAAAGACCATTGTTTTGGTTTGCTTTCCCTTCTGTCTTTCAAATCCCTTCTGTTTTTGATATGCTAAGCTAGTGTGCTTTAAATTCTGTGTGTGATTAAAATGGGTATGTCGTGTGGGACCTTTTCTGTGCTGTTTCCTGACATTTTATCTCTCTTAATTGCCAGATTTCCATTTAAGTGGACTTTGACAGAAGGGTGTCAGAGCAGCTTTTGTGTCATTTGATTGAGGCTAATCTATTTCAGTTGTATTCAAAATTTATAGTTTGTGAATGGCCATGGTTGTGAGTGGTAATGCCTCTATTCATACTTATTTATCTTGACATTGCTTAATCCAGGACGATGAACTCTTATTTCATTTACTGGACTACTCCACAGTGAGGGTCTGTGCAATACAGTTAAACAAGAGATATTACCCTAGGTTGAGTGGAAACGGGGTAGGATGAAAGCAGAGTGGGGTGGGGTTGGCAGAATTTTTGCAACCATAACTACTTTGAAGATTGTGCTGTTACTTAGATTAAAGAGTAATGATTAGAGAGCTGACAGTAGTGAACTTGTATTTTCTAGTTTTGATAAATCATATATGATCTGAGAAACCACACCCCCTGCCCCCCAGCCTTCCTCTACCTTTCCCATAAGTGCAAACCCCCCTTTGTGCTTTTCTGCTTTTGATGAGAGAAGATGAGAAATAAATCATTTGCTAGATGCTGCTGGAAATTTCAGAAAACGGATATATTTTCAAGGCTTGACACAATTACGATGCCCGTCTCTCCCTCCTCTTCTTTCAGTTGGCATGCACACATGCACAAAATCACCGAGGCACGGCCCATCCCAGAGAGCGCCTGATTTCTGTGCTATGAGGAGATCTCTTTGTCAGATCTGCCTCCATCGCATCACAGGCCTGCTCCTTGACTCATCAGCATACGTTGCTAGCGCCAGGATCTATTCCTACAGTCTCTTCTTATCACGCTTTTTTCCTCTTCTGCGCCCACGCCGCTGCTGCCTGCTTTACCTTGACTTTATTTTATTTGTAAACCTTGCTAAGCCATGGTTCTTCTAAAGTCTAGCCTATTAAGTTTGTTTCAAATACTCTTTTGATTATTCATATTTTATTTAACTTTATTGGTGTGCAGTACTGTACAGAAATCTTCAGCAGCTACTCATTTCTTTAGGTCCAGCTATTTTTTTTAAACATCTACATACATGCCTGGAAATATAGTGTATATAAAGCAAAAATAGAATTTGTACAATTCTCAATAGGTTGAAGGACAATATTTTGTGTCATCGCTGTTTTTCCACACAGCCTGAACCAAAAATCGATTTCTTTTGTAGTTTGGCATACCCCAGCTTTTTCTTCCAGTTTCCCTTCCTTAAGAATGGCTTCTGACAGTCACTCTTCCACTGAGACCATTTCTGATGAGGCTTCAGTGAACAGTAGATGGATCAAAATAAGGGCCACATACATCTCTCAGGTCCGGTGTGAGGTCTTTGTGGGATCCCCCCCGTTTGTTAAGGGCATGGCTTTTAATACTATCCATCTTCCCTGGATAGTTTTTAAGTCTGTCACTTCGTTTTTTTCAAGCTTCAGTTGTCACGTCTTAAATTTTTAAGGACACAT